TCTGAAAAGACACGTCCTTGGCACTGGAGCCATATCCTACTGTAAAAAGACATGCCAGGACTGATACAATGATCAATGATTGGCTTATTCTCCTAGATTTGTGTCCTGATTGTGCTCCCAAGAATTGCCTGTAAATCATAAGACAATCACATACTTCTCATATTATTTTACACAGGTTAAACTTAAGTGTGTAATTTTAAAAGAAAAGTTTGTCTTTTCATTGGGCAATATGAATGTACAATTTGTATAGGCTTTGGAGAAATACAAAAATCTACTGAAATTTGTGCTTTTTTTTTGGAGAATATCTGTTCAACCCTGTGGGTTGTGATAATTATAATAATAATGGTTTGATCTTTCTGATGTATTGACCTTTTAAATATTATTATTATTTTTAATTGTGTATATATATCATTATTTGGCCATGTCAAGTTCAGTGTTATGGGAAAAAAAAAATAGTTGTCAGATTTTATTATGAATTTTTTTTATATAAACAAAAATAGTGACTGTGAAAATTGTGTTTGATATTTGTAAATTCCGGCAGTACAGTATACATTATAATTTGTCTTTACATATACACAAATTATAACGAATACTGTACACTGTAATCATTTTCACCCATTTCAGCTTAAAAACTTAAGTTCAGTTGCCTACATTTTTAAGCGGAATCAAATTGGCTGTACTGTACATTTCAACTTAAATTATTTAAAACTGACTTTAGTTGAATCTTGTATAACTTGTAAAAAAAAAAAGTTGAAATAGTTTAAATAATGTTGTTAATGTAAAAACATGCCATGACATTGATCATATACTTTTTATAATAATTTATATACGTAGTATACTGTTGTATATACATTCCAAAAATACTGTGACAGTCAGCAACATAAGGCAAATATTTAGAGAATCAGCCATTAAAACATAAAATATATATATATATATATACAGTATGTGTGTGTATATTGAAAAGGTGGACGAGAAAGACTTAAATTACTTAACATAAAATAGTCTTCTTTAAAAAGACAAGTGTCCTCTGTTACACTTGTAATTGACATCCACCTGTATGTGTGAGGCAGGAAGTCCTGGCACAGAGCTTAAAATGGCTCTTCTCTTGACCGACAGGCTGGCACACTTGTTTTTCCTGGAACATCTGGAAGCATGAGAGTGTGTGGAGTCACACTAAGCTGGTCTTTGCAGCTGGCTACAGGCATAACACTCAAAGGTAAACAGGGAAAAACAGGGAAAAACCCCTTGCATTATCCTCCGGAATAGATGTCTGTATATCCCAGTGTTGAGGGTGGAAATAGCCCCCCTATCAGGGAGCAGGTGCTTCCTCCAGCAAGTCTTCTTATTTATCCACATTTACAGCCATGTTTGGGCAACCATGGACACCAGCTCAAGTTCAGTGCTGCACAGGTGGACAAATCATAAAAAAGGGGGATCGAATTCATAATCTCAAAGTAACTCAGCTATTAATATGGCAGATTTGATCCCTGCGAGAAGCAGTGAGCTTCAGTATCACTGTATGCTTGACTTCTGGGACACATTGGTCTGTCATCACTTTTTGATTATGATGCATTATTATCATCATATTCCTCATATATACTGTATAGGGTAAACACCTATTTATTGAAGTTTAAGTTTAAATAACACAACCCCCCCCCCCCCCCCCCCCCCCCATATGGTTGTAAAGAACGTTTTAACAAAAGGTTACATTTTCTTAACATTTTTCCTTGAATTAACAATCTGAACCCCTTTCCTTAAAAAGGTCAAATCCAATCTGATAATTGAATGGACTTATTGACCAGGGGTTCTATATATGATATCATTTCCTGATTTAAGGTTGTTGTTTTTTTTGCACCCTTTTAAAGCAAAGAAAGCAGTTTCTGTTTCACCATTCGACTATAGCTTTTAAATTATTACAGTACTATTACAAATAAAGTTAACAGGAGAAAGCAATAACCTTCTGTATTCTCTGCATACTGGCATGCAAACATAATTATGTATACTCTTCCACTGGTCCGTCTTTACATGATGCTGAAATCCAAACGGTCGCATCGTCTCTCTCTCTGTAAAGAGATGGAAGGCACTCTAGGATATTGTGAGAACTTGCGAGATTAGACAGCTGTGTTTTGTCGGCTGCTTCAGCCCCGCCTTCGAGTGTGGCACTCGGTCGATGGGAGTGACACCAATTATTTATGTCACATTCCCTCCGGAAGCAGAGGATGGAAACTCAACAAGAGAGGACCATCCATCAGACTTGTCCAATGGGGCTGTATACCTATGACTCCAGCACTGCAAAGGCAGGGAATGAAGTCTCTTAGGACAGTTTCACTTACCCTGTCAGAAAGAGACAGTAATTAAAAGTCCCAGAATATACATACCATTTAGTCTGCAAATATCAATTTTAGACTAACGGATTGTAAAAGGTGATGCCATATTAAGGGGTGTTAACTTGAGTAATTGGAGTTGTCGTGGAATCCTTGGGCTCTGCCCCTGTTCGGTGAACTGGCCGGCCTGTTAAAAACACAGCGAAGTTAGGGAGGAAAAACAAAATGCAGGTTGTTTCAGATCTCTCACTGGCTGGGAATTGACTCTTAACTAGGTGGTTGATGGATGAGGTGGGTCAGGTTATTAATAGTTTGCTGATTTTCACCTTCAATATTTTCAGGGGGCATATTTTATTGTGTCATGAATGTCATAGTATGATCTATTGAAGGTTCAGAGACAAAGTCAGCTCCCTTGAAATAATTTTCCTCTTATTCAAAACTTCTGAAAGGCACAGTGACCAAAGCAACAGGGCATTTGTAATGCGAGTGGACAGCAGAGTTACGGAAGATTGATAAGAGTGGCAGGTGTCTGTCATTGCACATGCATTTTACTGGAAGAAAACGTATTTTAAGTGACTATAGTATACGGTCACCGGGATTTTGCCAAGTAAGACATGGTCCTGGATCAATATTTCTGTCCCAAAATGTAGTCCTTACCGAATCCCTTAGCCATACCCATAACTTTTCCCTAAAATCATAGGGTAATGAAAGGTGAATAACACTGATGTTTAAGTACTTGACCCTGGTTCTAAGCCTAAACTTGACATAAACTGTAAACTTGTCCCTCAAATCTGATTGGTTGATTGGAAAGATGATCCAGGATCAACAAAGATGTTGATCCAGGAACATGTGGTACTTGGTGAAATCACGTTCACCATAGTCATACATAGAAAGAGATTAGAATACTAATGAAAGAGTAAAGTCTATTTCACCTTACATAATCTTTCAGGCTAGGTAGGTCAAATGTACAAGTATGGCTGACATCTCTACAAGGTGTCATTAGTGCTTAATGCTTCAGCCACACGTCGACTTAAATAACAATGACCCCATAATTCAATTAAGCAATCCTCTGGAAGGATTCTATATGTAGACAAGTACATCCTAGAGATTTAGACCTTAAAACTGGAAAAATAATCTTTTTTTTAGAAATCAACCTTTACAAATAGCCACATATCTACTCCAACCTTTTTTTTGTCATTTGAAAGGTAAACAAAAATAAATAATTATAAAACAGTAACATGCAGATGATACATCAGAGATTACTACTCACGGCCTAAGCCCAACCTAAATATAGACCTTATTCGCAAACACCGGAAGTAGCTAACCGCGGCCATATTGTTGACATGACATCTGTCCTGCTGCCCCTAGCCGCGCGCAGATTTGAGTAGAGGGGAGCAGTAGCCTGGCTTCATCTCGTCGGTATCAAGAGAAGATAATGCTATTATTTGATGTGGGTCCACACCAATGAAGCTTAAGTAAAGATCCGTCCTTATTGCCACTTTGCCAGCCGTAACTTATCCGGATATTTATAACGATCTCATTCATACAGTATCCGTATACAAACTACAATGCACCTCAACAAGGCAACATAGGCTAATGAACGACACTCGTCTCATTCGTGGAGGTGGAAAAACAAATTCTTTGTGACATGCAAGATTTGTTGTATTAAAATGTAAATGCAAAAGAAAAGGCATGAGAGTCGGTTGTTTTTGTCAATTTTAAGTTTTCAAATGTTTGCGATTTTAATATAAGTAAGTTACATGGTTACATATTTGACCACTTGCTTGAGCAACTTAATATATAGAAGTAATGCATGGAATAATTGGCTTACGTTGTTGAAATAGTGAGTATGTTTTAAAATAAAAATAGTGAGTACCAGGGTGTTTGTGGTACAGCCGCGGATCAGTTACGCACTGCAAACGCAGCATATAAAGCACTATAGCGCGTCCTGCTTCTGTACCGTATACGCACTGCACATGCATTGCACACGGATTATGTGTGAAACCTGTGGTAAAATGATGGGAACAGACTTTTCTATGGGGAGTTGGCTGAAAGTTTAGCCTATTTATCCTAGCTAGCCTCTCTTGCGCTGACTCAACTCTGTCTCCTTCCCTTCACGTTTTCTGACAGTCGGTAACTTATCGAAATCATAAAAACTAACTCCGGGGTTCTTGCTGTTGTTAGAACAGCCGTGTTTTACACAACACACCATCGCGCTGTTTTAAAAAAAAAATACAGTGATAATACCATGGATAATACCGACGCTGCCTCGCTTGTCAATTGACAGACTGACAGTTGCCGTGGTTTCTATGTCAACAATATGGCCGCCGCAAACATTGATGACGCAGATCGAATAACATCTATACTTCTATATTGTTTTTAGACAAGAACTCATATTTAAAACCAAAATGATACATTTAAAAAGGTGCGCTCAAGAAAAGCCCCATGACTTTTTCAGGCTTTTTGATTAATTTCTCAAGCTAAAAAATAAAAACCATTTAAGCTTAAATATGTTTTATTTCAGGCAGGAATTTAGTACATTCAAGTCACAAGGAATTGATCATATTTAAGTTAACCATTACCTTTTGGCCAGCAGAAAAGACACTGCAATGAAGGAACCACATCTGCATGTGCATCACTTCACTTTAAAGTGTTGCGTGAACACATAAGAACATATAATCCTTTTAGATGTACAATCCTTTATGTGTTGTGGCAAAACATCTAAGGCATGTCTTAACGTGTACACCTCAATTCTTATAATACACAATATGATGTAATATGGGTGATTGTTGGTGTACATCTGCATTTAGTACACTTACTTTAAAAGCAAGCATTACTGTACATATTCTGACTAAGCCCGATGGTGATCTTCTGTTATGGGATTTAGCAGGGATACAAATGTTTTTCTTTTACCTTTTATAATGATCTCCCACAATCAAATATGAAAGCCACATTAAACACTCTGTCAATTCAATACACATTCATTCTTATGCACTCATACACACAGGTCAGGCCCCCTGATTTCCCTTACACGTCACCATGTGATTTTCCATTTGCAGTGTATTTAAATAAAGGGACATTTTAGTACACTTGTATAGCAGCACACACATACATGAAATATTTGTAATCCTTTATCAGCAGTCCCTTATTCCCCATGGCTAAGGCTTACAACCAAGTGTTTTATATGAATAACTGCAATTACATTGTTTTGACATACATTTAATACAATTCTAAACAAGTTTCTACCATAAAGCTAGAAGAGCTTCCTGTGCTGGTCAAGTTTCAGAAATTCCCTTTGTACAGTCCCTTAGCAGTAATGCTGTGCGTTTGCATATATAATCTGCATATACAGTACAATGGAATCATAAGTAAAGTGCATAATTTTTTATAAATAACATTATATTTTATATTATATTATATTATATTAAATAAATAAATAAAATAAGGGGTCCAAAGTGCTACTAAGAAAAAAAAACTCAATTTAGGTTTATAGTATTTATAAGGTCTAATTATAATAGAGAAATAACCTCTCTGAAACCATTTTTACATGCTCAAAACTATCTTTCGTTCTTTCCTCTGATGTCGAGGAAGGATTCTACGGGTTGGCTTTCAGATGATTTAAACCATTCTGATTCTTTGTCAGTTCCTCGTGAACTTCTTCGAAGGAACCTGGCTGAGATTCCATGGATGACTTTGTCATCTGCTTTTGCAAGGCATTTTCAGATGATTCCCATTCACTGTCCTTTGAATCATCATTAGTCTCATTTGTCTGGTCCTGCTCTTCTTCTGCTGTATCCTCTGTAATATCTGAGAGTTTGCCCTTCTCATTTCCATTCAACTCTTCAACCTCGTCTTTTTTCACACAAGAACTCTCTCTTGCATCATCAGTTTCATTTGTCTGGTCCTGCTCTTCTTCTGCTGTATCCTCTGTAATATCTGAGAGCTTGCCCTTCTCATTTCCATTCAACTCTTCAACCTCATCTTTTTCCACACAAGAACTCTCTCTTGCATCATCACTCTCATCCTCTCGAGTCTCTTCGTCTTCAACTTCATGTTCATTATCCTCTTCCCTCCTCTCTGGTTGTCCAGTGGCTGAGAGTTTGAGGAAATTCAGAGCATGAACGAACATCTTGAAGGTTTTCTGTGCAGTTTTTTCCTGTGGTTTGCCCTCTGATTCTACGACTTGGTTGTGTTCTTCTGTTTCCGAGTCTTCTCCATCAGCATCAGCCCCATCCTCAGACTCTACCAAACCATTAGATAAAGTTTCCCCATCTGGGGTTTCATCCATTTGTTTTGGCTGTAACACAGGCTGTAAAGCTGGAGTATTGCCATCATGTTCCCCTTCATCTGTCTCCAAATCTGGCTCGGTATCATCCTCCGCTTCATCACCAGCTTCAGCTGATTCACCAATGTTGGCCACAAGACCACATTTATTTGCAATTATCTCCACACCATCATCTTCTGTCTCACTTTCTTCACCATTATCATCAACACTATGTAGGACAACATCACCCTTGTTCTTAAGAGATGTTTCGTCCTCAACCACCTCAAGATTAGTCAAAACATCAAGACACTCTACTTCACAACTGACAGATTCCTTGTCTTCCTCAACGTCTGATTGACTTTTGTCTGTCTCTTCTCCAGTTGTCTCATCGTCAGGTGTTTTCTTTCGCTCTGCCAGTTCTACCCCAGCATTCTTGTCTTCTGCTGTGGTGCCATCTTCAACAGTAGCTTTCTCTTCAGACATCTCAGTTTGAGCTTCAGCGGTCCCTTCATCTGCTGTGTCCTCGTCACCTGTATCAGTCTCTCCTGCAGTTTCTGCTTCAGCAGTCTGCCCATCTTCTACAGATTCATTCTCAGCCATCTCACACTCTTCTACAGTGTCATCATTAACTGTCTCACCCTTTACTGCAGTTTGATCATCACCTGTATCACCATCTTCTGTAGTTTCATCTTCAGCATCTTCTACAGATTCATTATTAGCAGATGTCTCACCCTCTGCAGTTTGATCTTCAGTTATGTCATCCTCGTCAGCAGTTTGTCCATCTTCTACAGATTCATTTTTAGCAGCTGTCTCACTATCTTCTGGAGTTTCATCTTCAGTTATATGATCCTCTCCAGCAGTTTGTCCATCTTCTACAGATTCACTTTTAGCAGCTGTCTCACCCTCCTCTGCAGTTTCATCTTCAGTTATTTTATCCTCTCCAGCTGTTTCACTGTCTTCTGCAGTTTCATTTTCAGCCGCCTCATGCTCTTCTCGAGTGTCGTAATTTCCTGTCTCAACTTCTTCTGCAGTTTGTCCATTTTCAGCAGATTCATTTTCAGCCCCCTCGTGTTCTTCTACACTGTTGTTGTTTCCTGTCTCAGCTTCTTCTCCAGTTTCATCTTCTGCTGTTTGTCCATCTTCTGCAGTGTAATTTTCATCCACCTCATCCTCTTCTGCAGTGTTGTCATTAACTGTCTCAACTTCTTCTCCAGTTTCATCTTCTGCTGTTTGTCCATCTTCTGCAGTGTAATTTTCATCCACCTCATCCTCTTCTGCAGTGTTGTCATTAACTGTCTCAACTTCTTCTACAGTTTCATCTTCTGCCGTTTGTCCATCTTCTGCAGTGTAATTTTCATCCACCTCATCCTCTTCTGCAGTGTAATCCTTAACGGTCTCACCTTCTTCTCCAGTTTCATCTTCAGTTATTTTATCTTCTCTAGTGATTTCTGCTTCTGGAGTTTGTCCATCATCTAAAGTTTTATCTTCAGCTGTTTCACCCTCTTCTACTGTTTCACCCTCAGCAGTCTCTCCATCTTCTGCAGTTTTACTTTCATCTGTATTAAGCTCTTCTTCAGTGTCATAATTAGTTGTCTCACCATCTTCTGCAGTTTCATTACCAGCTATGTCATGCTCTTCAGCGGCTAGCGCTTCAGCAGTCTGCCCGTTCTCTACAGTATCTTCACCAGTGGTCTCACCCTCTTCATAAGCTGTTTCGTCCTGCTCCTCTGATTCTTCCTCAGTGTATTCTTCAGTTGCTCCCTCCTTTGCTGTTTCAGCCTGCATTATATCATCAAATTCACTAATGTCATCATTTGCCACATCTTCATCTAATTCATCTTTAATCTTAGAACTGCTTTCACTTTCTTTGACGGCCATTACATTAGAATCAGTCTCATCATTCTGCTCTTGCTCTTCATCTTCTTGTTCTGCTGCCTTATGTTGTGCTGTCATCGTGTTATTAGACATCTCAGCAATTTCCCCAACTTCATCCACATCTTTCCTTAAATGTTTGTATATATTTGATTGTTTCACAGAACTATCCTCTACATAAGTGCTGGAGGCATTGTCCTCCTCTCCACCCTCCTCACTTTCTTGTTTTTCATATTCTTCCTTAATTTCTTGGTCACTGGAAGCAAAAATTTCTTTATTCACCCCCTCTTTCTCATCCTCCTCTTTGACAGCCTGAAGCCCCACATGTTCTCTCTCCTTCTTACTGGCTGTAGATTCACTGGCAATCCCCCCGATGTTTTCATTGGTATGAGACGATTTCTTTATCTGGAGAATTCTTCTCAAATCAAAGTCCATCATCACAGGGGCAGAATTCATCATTTCCACAGGTAGCACATGTTTGGATGCCATTTTCTTTTTCAAGCATGTGTCACAAGGACAATATTCATCATCGCTACGTTGATCACTGAAATCAGTCCCTGTCATTGTGTAATCATCATCACTTTTAGCAGGTTGCGGATCAATTGATTGGTTGCTCATTACTTTCAGGCGCCTCCGCTTTTGCTCCGTTTGAATGGTAGATTCACGTGACATTGTCTCTTTCGGTGGTCTTGGTCTTCCAGCTCTGCCATGGATTTTTCTTAGTTCCCTGCCAATACTCGTTTGTATCCGTCTGCGGACTTCATCTTGCAATTCACTTATCATGGCGTCAAGCTGCTCATTGTCATCCAGATTCCAACGGACTTTGAACTCAGCCATTGCATCAACATAATTTGTCATAAATTGTTTTTCTAATTTGTTCAATAAATTCAGAACCCATACAGGATCAGGGTCTTGAGAAAGCCTTTTTGAAAAATGACCTCTTTGTAGTGTCGGAGCACTGCTTGAACTTGTGTCCTCTTGACGGTCTGATTCAGTTTCATTATTATTATTTCCCGAACTCTTGTTTGATGAAACAGGTGTTTCAATGAGTTCCCTTGGAGTATCGTTATTTCTGATAGTCTCGTCAGAGCCTCGGACATCTTTTAGCTTCTCTTCAACTGTGTCCTTAGTCTCTGGGGTCCACTGAGCTTGACTGGCTGAATCATCATTTGATACTGGTGTTTCTGAAGCTTCCTCTTCCACGGTTTCATCAACTTCCTGTACCTTTGTCAGGGCATCCAGGCCTTCACATTCTGTATTGATTTGGGCTTGGGTGCCGTCATTGACACTACTTTTCCCAGAACCTGTTGAGCCACTGTTAACATCTACCCCTGATGATGACCTGGCTTTGAATTCCTTGTCCAGATGGTTGTTTCTTTCCTCAGATGTCTTCTCACTGTCTGTGGGGTCACAAAGCCAAAGGGACTTAAGCATGCTCATGAGCTCCTGGTATTTTTCTTTTTTACCGTCTTCATCACTAGAACCAAAGTCTAACAACTGTAGATTTGCCAAACAATCCAGAAGGCCTTGCGCTGATGTACTGAGCTTACGTCCATATACACGAGACACCTCTGGTAAGCTATTGCATCTGTGTAATTTGGAGCTCAGCAAGACTTTCATCACCAGAACTGAGGAATTAAACATCTTCGGTTCTTCTCCCCTCTGAGAGTGATCACCCTCAGAAACTTTTTTGTCAATAACTCCCTCTGCATTCACCACATAAGCATCTTCCATCTCAGGTTGTGTTTCAAGCTTGGTTACGCCATGTCCCAAAGTTTCATGTTTATTTTCATCTCCTGAAGGCACATGTGATGTGCAGGGTGGTTCTATTGAATCAAAGTTGTCGTGAAATTCATCGCCTAAGTCACACAAGGTGGTGTCTGATGGGATTTTCCTCAGCCATTCATTTACCACCTCAGTTGGGGAGGCATTTGGCAGGCAAGAAGGACTCATCTCAGACATGTCTTCATCCATCTTGTGGCAAGACGAGTCACTCCCAATCCTTTTCCTACATTTGCTACTTTTTTCACTCTTGATGTCACTGACATTTGTTTTACAAGATTGTTCTGCTGCTATATTCAAACAGTCAGTGTGTTCTTCTCTTGGGTCTAGAGCAGGAACGGTCTGTGATAACATGCTATCATTGGAGCCGGTAAGTAAAATAACAGTTTTTTTGGATTTTTTGGGAGATTTTGGTGGGATAGGACTGAGATGGTTTCCTGAGGTAACAGATAAAGTCGCTGAATGACACCGGGATGTATTGTCCTCAAATTTCTGTATCGACCTGGTGCTTAATTTATTGTTACTTCCATTGACAGTTACTGTAGTTTTAACATCATTCTTTTGACCATTCACTTTTAAATGAGATGATGAACTGGATATATTACTCTTTGGTCTGTCAATTATTTCAGCAGCATTTCCTTCTTTAGCTGAGGCACTTGAAATTGGTCTTTTCTGTTGTGTAGAACTGCATTTTGAACAGACACTTTGAGATTTATGGGTAACATCTGGACTTCCAGTTTTCTCTTGACCTGTGATTTCAGTATGTACAGACATACCAGAAGCTTTGCTAGATGGACGAATCTCTTCGGTTGGAGAGCTCTGTCTCACTGAACCATTGGCAGATAAAGTATTTAAATACTTTGTTTTGGAGGATTTATTGCTTGCTACATCATCTTTGTCCTGGTTTGTGTCTCTAGGAAATTTAGAGCTGCAATGAGAGCATTTGGACTTCGATTTACTAGAGACATTTGACTTAGTCGATGCTAAACTTTTAGGTCTTTCCTCTGGCGTCCGTGTTGTTTCAGTTGTTATTGGTACTGTAGATTCTGATAAACACTGGTCAGATCTACCACATATTTCAGTCTTTGATGAACCAGATGTTCTTGAGTTAATTGAAACAGCACCTTCATCTATTTCCTCAACATCATCAACCTCATAGTCTTCAACTATCCCAATAGACACTGACGTGCTTGTTGGTGTTAAAACTCTTTCAGAGTCTGAACTAACTGAGCTGAATTTGGACTTTGCTGACTTTTTAGAGAGAGGACTTGCAGGTACTTCTTCATGTTCAGAGTCTTTTTCAGATGATGCCATTTGACTTGATGACTTGTTTATTGCACTGCAAACATATTTATTTGAGTTCTCTGTGTGAGATACTTTTGATTGAACACACACTGGACTCTCACCTCTGTTTAGTTCCATATCTACAGTGTTTGTGGCTGTATGGACCTGACTCTCAGAATCCTTAGACTTCTTGGATCTTGTAGATACGTTAGACTTGACTGACAATTTGCTTGGTGATCTGTTTGCTTTTTTATCCACACCGGCTTTAGACACTTTAGATTCTGCAGATGTATTAGACACCACACTTGTTGATCTTCCGTCAGGCTCTTCAGCTTCTGAGAGGAGGGACTTTGCAGAAGCATTTGATTTGGTAGGCACAACACTTGATTTAACAGTGGCATCAGATGTTGTAGATGGGGTTGACTTCACAGACAAAGAGCTTGTTCTTTCTACCAGTTTATTTGCTTCATCGTCCTCCTCCGCTGTTCTTTCTGAATGTTTTGATTTCTCAGATGCAGAAGATTTTGCAGACATTGCACTTGATGATCGAACATCTCCTGTATCTGTGTTTCCAGTTTCTTTAGGAGCAACTCCTGAAATATTTGACCTCTGAGATGTTTTAGATGTTACTGATGCTGTACTTGGTGCTCTCTGCTGTACATTTCTAATTAGCTTGGAATCTTCTGACTTGTTTGATCTTGCAGAAATATTAGAAATAGAGGACAAAGCACTTTCTGTTCTTGCTTCCTTTTGTTTATCTTCATTGACAGGGTCTTCTGGACCAGATCTTCCAGAGACAACAGATTTCAATGGCCTCGAACTTGGTGCCCTCTTCACTTTTTGTTCATTTGGTTCAACTATGATTATTTCTGAAACTTTCGATGCTCTGGATCTTACAGAAGAATTCGATTTTGCAGACACTGCACTTGGAGCCCGTTCTTGGATTTCTTCCTCATTTGAGATCTCATTTTCATCAAGTGTGGCTTCAGACAGTAGTGATATGCCACTTGGAGGTCTATCTAGGTTCTGAACTTCTTCCTCTGGATACTTTGACTTATTGGATCTTACTGAAATTCTGAGTTTAGTAACACTTGGTGCTTTTACTTCACTTTCTTCATCATAAGGCTCTTCTGCCTGTACTTCCGAAACTTTCGATGCTTTGGATTTTGCAGAGATACTGGTTTTGGTAGAAATATCAGATTTTTCTGACATAGCACTTGGCACTCGGCCCCCTTTTTCCTTATTATCAGTGTTGACATCTGTTGCAGACACATTTGACTTTTTTGATTTTGCAGAAACGTTTGACTTTGCAGACAAAGCACTTGAAGCTCTCTCTTCTACTTGGTCTTTTGCATCAGGCTCTTCTGCCTCTACTTCTGAAACATTTAATGCTTTGGATTTTGCAGAGATACTGGTTTTGGTAGAAATGTCAGATTTTTCCGACATAGCACTTGGCACTCTGTCCCCTTTTTCCTTTTTATCAGTGTTGACATCTGATGCAGAAGCATATGACTTTTTTGATTTTGTAGAAATGTTTGACTTTGCAGACAAAGCACTTGATGCTCTCTCTTCTTGGTATTTTTCATCAGGCTCTTCTGCCTGTACTTCTGAAACTTTTGATGCTTTGGATTTTGCAGAGATACTGGTTTTGGTAGAAATATCAGATTTTTCTGACATAGCACTTGGCACTCTGTCCCCTTTTTCCTTATTATCAGTGGTAATATCTGTTGCAGAAGCATTTGACTTTTTTGATTTTGCAGAAACATTTGACTTTGCAGACAAAGCACTTGAAGCTCTTTCTTCTTCTTCTTCTTCTTCGTCTTCTGCATCAACAAGCTCATCAGTTAAAACATCTGAAATTCTGGACTTATTGGATCTTGTTGAAACGCTTGATCTTGCTGACAACGCACTCTGAGATCGTTCCTCTGTTTGGTGTTCTGCTCCCCGAGGCAAAGCAAATGGTACTTTTAAATTATTCGACTTTTTCAGTCTTTCAGAAGCATTGGATTTAGATGACATAGCACTCAGAGCCCGTTCCTCTGCAACCTCAACTCCATCACTTACAGTGACTCCTGACTGATTGGATTGTGCTGAGTATGCACCCTGAGCTCGTTCTTCTGTTTGGTCTTTTTCTGAGACCATTGATTTAACAGATTTTGCAGATATGTTAGATTTAGAGGACAGCACACTTGCAGATCTCAAATCATCTCTATCTTCAGCCGCAATATCTGCTACCATATCAGATCCTTTGGATTTCTTGGATTTAGAAGAGCTATTGGATTTAGTTGACAATGCACTTGGTGCTCTTTCCTCTTTGTCTGGAGATTTTTCTGTGCGTTTGCAAGTTTCATTAGGTGCTGTTCTGTATTCATTTGATATTTCAAAGGTATGTGATGCTGCATACATTGCAGATAATCGATCATCATCTCCTGCCACCGCTGACATTTTGGACCCTTTAGATCTTACAGAAACATTTGATTTAGCAGATATGGCACTTGATGCTCGTTGCTCTCTGTCTGACAGATTAGATTTTTTTGACAATGCACTGGAGACTCTGTTTTCTGTCTCCTCCTCCTCCATCTTGGACTTTTTAGATTTCAATGAAGAATTTGATTTGATTGACAAAACACTAGGAGCTCGTTCCTTCATTTCTTCTCCTGATCCTGGTGTTGGGGTTTTCTTGGATTTCCTTGATCTTGTAGATATAGTAGAATTTACAGAAATACTGCTTGATGCTCTTCCCTGAACATCCTCATTTTCCTGTGCTTCATCCTGGTCTGCCTCTGAAATTTTGGAGGTTCTGGATCTTTTAGAGATATTTGATATCGATGACAAAGAGCTTGGCGATCTCTCTCCTGGTAACTCCACTTGAGTAGCTGATTCAGCTTCAGGTGTGTTTAATTGCACTGAAGCATTCATTGAATTTAAACATTCCCCTCCTTCTTGAAGAGAAGCTGCTTCCGAAATGTCAGACTTAGATTTTTGTGAGACAATTGATTCAATAGAAACGCTGCTGGAAGCTCTGTCTCGCTCATCCTCAAACTCGCTTAGCTCAATTGACATTCTTGATCTCGCAGAAATATTTGAATTAATCGAAATGGAACTGTGAACTCTCTCTTCTATTTGATCATCATTTGTCAGATCTTCAATTCCAGACTGGTTTGATGTACCAGATTTAACACTTGACGCTTTCTCTTCTATTCTCTCCTCAGATGCCCCATCAGGTGCAGACTGTGTCTCTTTAGACTGACTAGATTTAACAGAAATACTTGATTTAGATGACACAGCACTTACAGGCCTCTCCTCAACATTGTCCTGTGAATAAGCAAGCTCATCAAAACAATTTTCTGACAGTTTGGATCTCACAGATGTATTTGATTTAACAGACATGGCACTTGATGTTCTTACTTCAGAATTGTGTTCCGCAGACACATTGTCTGAGACTTCAGTATTTCTTGATTTGTCAGATCTATGAGACTTTATTGACATGGCACTGTGTGCTCTTCCATCCTGTACGAGTACTTTTGAAAAATTTGTTTTATTTGATTTTCCAGAGGTATTGGATTTTATGGAGATAGCACTTGAGCATCGCTCCTCTATTTCATCATTTACTTTAGTATTCTCTAGATCATTTCCATAAGGGGCCGATAACTCAGACAGAGACTTTGTAGACATTTTCGATTTGTCTGACATTGCACTTAGTGCCCTTTCTTCTGTTTCTGTATCTTGAACATCAATGTCTTCTAGTTGACCATTTGATTCAAAAGCCCCTGGAGTCGTTATGTCCTTTGAGACTACACATTTATACGTTTTTGGTCTAGACAAAGATTTGGGTGAAGCAGATGCTTCAGACCTGGACGCTTTATCACCTACTTCTGGACTGGCAAACCTTCTGGACATTTTAGACTGCCCTGAATATAAAGCTTTGCTTGGTGGTCTTGGTGATAAATTCACCAGAGATGCAGGTGATTTACAGGGTGTAACAGAACATGGGTTTGGTTCAACATCTTTGCTCTCCTCATCTTTGCTCTCCTCATCTTCCTGTTGGCCACAGGATGCTCTCGAGATACTTAGAGGGAGATTGACTTCTTCATCATCTTGGTCCTCCTTCAGTGATGCTAAAATTTGGGAAGAAGAGCTCACGACGGATATAGGCCTCTCATCTTCCTCTACTGGCAGAGTGATCTGAACACTAAATTGATCTTTAGGAAGATTAGAGGATATGACATCTGGCCTGTTCTCGTCATTATCAGATGCATGAATGTTCTCACGCTTGTCTTCTATAGCACTTGTGCTCTTTGTTTTAGGGGACACTGAGCGCACTTCACTTCGACTGCAGCAATGGTTGATGGTACATTGTTCAATCGTGGTGTCCCCCTGCTGCCCGATGGTCTGTTGAATGCAAGTTGCCTTTTCCACTAAATGCTCTGTGTACTCTTCGCTGGACATTGTGCGCATGCTGTCAGTAGATGCCTTCTTGCACACTATTCTCCGCGAGGATGCACTTGAGCTTGAGGATCTGATGCATCTTACAGATCCTTGACTGGGAGGTACAGGATTCTTCCACATGTCATA